ACAAAATACTTGAAAACTAAAATAAAACAAAAATTAAATGCCATGAGATAAAGAGGACCAAGTCAGCATTCCCAGTAGGTCAACTGTTTTTCATTGGTCCTTTTTCTATATTTTGTATATATAAATTTAAACTTCATGACAGCAGACGGAAATAGAAAGACTTCTTGTTACCAAAAACTTAAAACTAATAGCAATTATATATATCAGTAAGACACGCCTTCTAGTAATTAAGAAGAGCTAAGACAAGGAAAGGAGAAGAAACACGAAAAGAGACAATAAAAGAAAGAAAAAAAAACAAAGAAAAGAAAGAAAGAAACGAAAAAGACATAGAAAGAGAGAAAAAGAAAAAAAAAAAACGAAAGAGAATGAGAAAAAGAGATAATTGGTTCATATGTCATCACAATTCTGTTCATTCAACAACTTAGACCAATAGATCACCAACCCGTCATCAATGCCACGTAGAACATCATCCGTGATATCCAAAAGAGTCGTAGTGCAGTTATACCCAGAACGGAAACCTGACTGCAAGCTAGGTAGTAACACGCATTTAAATGTGACCACAACCTAGTGCACAATAATCTTTCAAATACTTTAGAGAAGACCGGCAAAATACTTATCGGCCTAAGATCCTGCAAACAATTTAGATTTAGACAGATTTAACAAGAGCACCCCTCCACTGTCTCGGATAGACCGACCCTTCGATGCAAAAGTTGATAATGTGGCACATGTATGGCAGTGTCACCGGAGAACTTAATAAAAGCATCTGCTCCTTAACTCCATCACTACCAGCAGCATTTGTTTTAATTCGATTAAGCGCTTGCAAAACCTCTTCCTCAGAAACTAAAGAAAAGGAAAATTTTGTAGAAACAGAAGATAATCTATTAGTATTGTAGAAGTGTAATAAGTCAGGATCGCAATCATGTTGATTTTGAGAGGAAAAAAAAATTATTTATGTCACCAGCATTTTCCACAGTAGACGGAACTGACTTCGTTTTAGCACCATATACTCCAAACGCCTTGAGATTGTTCCAGAGTTTACGAGAATTATTGTTATGAAATATTAAAGAAAGGTAAGCCTTTTTTTCCCGACGGATTGCTGAGTTAGTATAATTTTTCAAGTCTTTGTATGACTCAAAATGAGAGGGATCCCTGGTAGACTTGTATTTCGAATAGGCATTATTTCGTAAATTAATGAGAATTTTAATAGTATCGGTTATCCACGGGCGATAATTCTTTCGCAGTGTAACTGTTCGGAGTGGTGCATCAGCTCTAAATAAGGATAATATGGAATTATTAAAAAAATCTACCTTATCATCAATGGAATAAGAAATAAGAAAGTTGTGCCAGTTTAGATAGTTTAGGTCATCCAATAAGCATTGGTGGTTAAAATGCCTGAAGTCCATAAAAGTTAATGTCTGTGGAACTCCCCGAGGAATATCACTACCTAAGGTTACATAAACCATGCTGTGGTCAGTTACGTTATAAACAGGAATAAGAGCATCATCGTCTATAAGAATAAAGTCAATTAATGTCGCCGAAAAGGAGGTTACACGGGTAGGTGACGTTATTATTTGCTTTAAACTAAACTATTCAATTAAAGGAAGAAATCTGCTCCTATAAATAACTGTTTCTAATCGAGTAACGTAAGTCAAATTATGTCTAATAAAGAACCCAACTCCACCGCCTCCACCAAGATTTCCACAGGACGCCACTCTAGAACGTCCAACAAAACAACTGTGATAACTCACTATAGAATAAGGAGTGATATCAGTGTCCGGATATATCCAAGACTCTGATATTGCAAAAACATCAAAATCACCCTGAAGAATCAGGTTTCTTACAGCAGGAAAATGAGCAGGAAGTGACCTAACATTCAAATGACCAAACTTCATCAACAGCTATCACTTACAAAAAGAAAAAAGAAAGGGAAAAAAACAAAGTGCTTGTCCAAAAAAAAAAAAGTTAAAGAAGAGAAAACGAAAAAATGAGATATCAACAACAAATCACCTTAGTTATTCAAAAACAAAAATAAATGCGATTCACAAAGAATGTCTTATCAAAAGCTATCAAAGTTAAACAAAACTGTACAAAATTGACCACTGTATTAGATCTAATTTACTGTCAGCCTTCTTATCGATGAATGTACTTACAGTTTTCTCTGCAGTTTCAGCACTCGCGTTTTCGGCATAAGAGACGCCTGGCTTTATTTTATTTGAATTTACTCTTTTCTTATTCCTGATGACTTGTAGTTCCGTAATCACAATGCATCCTCGGTAGTTCGCTGGATGATTTTCTCCACAGTTGAAACATTTAGCCGGGATTTCTTTGCATTCCATAGTCCAGTGTTCACCAGCACATTTAACATATCTCGGATTTTTGTGGCAGTAAGCTTTGGTGTGTTTTGGCTTTCTGTACTCTTCGATTTTGACTCACACTTCTAATATGTTTGTTATTTCATGGATTCTTTTTACATCCTCTGACGATGCAAAATCCAAGATGTATAAAGAAAGAGGCTCTTTTGTTTTGTATTTTAACATTTGGGTTAGTTTACAAATGTTATACTTGTGCTCCAATAGATCATCTTTGATATCATTAACATCACAGCTTTTATGCATCTTTTTAGCGACCACTTTCAGATTTCTGGTTTGCTTGATTTCATAAGTTGACCAGGACAAGATAAACCTGCCTCAAAAGAACTAAGTGTTGTGATGTTTAACCTGGCTTAGAAGCACTATGGCAGAATGTCGTCTCAATGATATTCCCATGATGAGTGTGTATAGGAAATATATTTTTGAGAACTTTGAGGGTTTTATTATTATTATTATTATTATTGCTGCCGGGCTGAGGAGAGCGGCCCCTCTCGTTACTGCGACCTATAAGATCTATTGTAACTTTAGCCCTCCAAAGGTTTAGGGCAAATGTAGGTCCTTAATGAACCTTAGTATTGTCCTGAGGTCTTGAACCTTTATGTCGGTAGGTAACAGGGGAGTTTTACCGAAGACGTTGTGCCTTAGACGGCCTCTGGCGACGCAATTGCACAGTATATGTTGTCGACAAGTTTGATCCTCAGCTTGTCCAATGTGGAAGAGGTGGTATTTTAGGGGCACATGGCCGGTCAGGTAGCCTGAGAGCGTTCTTAGATCCCCTTTGCTGAGGCATAAAACCATACTCTTCTATCATACTCTTCGCTTGTCTGTGACCTGGAAGTTCTTTCCAGCGTAAGGCTATCTTTGAAGCCTCCCAGTTGTTGATTGTTTGTTTTAGGTGGCTTTTTTGTAGTCCACATCCAGGTTGGGGTCCAATGAAGGGCGTGTTTGCTGCCTCTTTGGCCAGCTTGTCGGCCTTCTCATTGCCCTCAATGTTGCTGTGACTTGGAACTCACCATAGGGTAACATCATTGCCCCTAGCGAGTTCTCTCAGGTTGTTGGTACACTCTCTGATCAGTGCGGAGGCACACGTGTAGGCCTGAATTGCCTTTAAGGCGACCCGACTGTCTGTGAAAATGTTTATGGATGCATCTTTTTGTCCTTTCTGTAGGTTCAAAGCGGTGCAGAAGTTTATAGCAAGAACTTCTGCTTGGAAAATTGTTAAGTCCGAGCTGAGGGGCAATTTGATGTGGCTACTGATGCCCATGCCTACTCCAAATCTTACTCTGTCTTTGAAGCATCGGTGTACCAGGCTAGGGCTCCTCTTTTTAGTTGAGGCCCCTTCGCCCAATCATCCCTGCTTCTAAATATGACCTCGGTATAAGATCTGTTTTAATTTCAATCAGGTGATTTAGACATGGGTCCTTGAGGATCTCGAGGTGTACTCTGAGGTTACCCTGCATCAACTTGAGTGAAGAAACTGTATTCAGTGATAAGGCACTTAAGGCTGCCTCTTTTTGTATATATAAATGGAGTGGTGTGAGACTGAGCAGGGCTTCCAAAGCAGCCGTCGGACAGGATCTCATTGCACCCGTTATGTTAAGACATGCTAACCGCTGGATATGTGCCAGCTGTTGTTGAGCTGTCTTATGTTTTGTTTTTGGCCACCAAACCAATGAGGCGTAGGCGACCATGGGTCTGATTATTGCTACGTAGGCCCAATGAGCCATTCGTGGTTTGAGACCCCAGTTCCTTCTTAGGAGCAGATCTGGTTTGCCGAGGGTTTTATTAATAATCTAGTTGACCAAATTATGAAAATTATGTTTTACATAATTTGGTTTGTTTTTTTTTAAATTTTTTTTGTTCATTGGTGGCCAGATTCCGCTGTGGGAACGAGGAAAGGGGAAACAAGTATTGGGTTGATGAGGACGAAAGGTGGTGTAGTCTATGCAGGGACGAGATCGAAACGTTGGGCCACATGTTGAAGGGATGCAGCAAGTTGAGGGAGGAGGCGATGGACCGGAGGCAGATTTTGGGAGAGGGGGTGAGGGCAAGAGATGAATGAACGAGATGACTGGGGCGAGCAGCCGAGGGTGTGGAGGTATTGGAGGAGGGTTGTATGAATTGTATTATTGGTGTAAAAATTGTAAACGTGTTGTATACAATAAAACGCTTTACTATCAGTAAATAAAGAATTACTTTCAGCTCCTCCGCCAAATTTAACAGCCCAATGAAATTTATGTAATTAAAATTACAAATATTAATTAAATTATCAATTTTATCATTTTTTCATTAAACCATGAGATAACTCACGAACATACCAGAAATTTAAAACTGTGTTCCAACTTAAAGTTTTTCTGAAAATTCTATTCAATGTCTTTTAATATTCGCCGTTAGATGTCGGTGGTTCCTTCGAGGGCCAGCAGCCGTATGCAACAGCAACAATCTTCCGGTCAGTACGACGAGAACGGCGTCGGCGAAGATAACGGCGCTCCTCCACCGACGACCGCGACTTCCGGCGTGCGCACCGGAGAACAAACGACGCTGGTTGGCGAACCGCCACCAACGGCGACGCCCCACGTGACGGCGTCAAACGTCGTCGCGACGCCCAGTACCGGACCTGCGGCCACCGCGCTGGCCACGAAAACGACGGACACCGAAGACGACGACGACCTGGACCTCGAGGACGACGACGACGAAGAAGATTACGATAACGACGTCCGATATCAAGGTAAGAAATTATAATTGTTGTTAATTTCAATAAGCTTTTTAAACCTTCGTTTAACACACATTAATTTCTTTTTGTTGTAACTTTAGGTAGAAGAGTTATTAACCACGTTGTACCAAACGGTGGCGGCGGCGGGTATTGGCGTCAAGGCGCCGCCAGCCGTCCAACGAGTCCCGGGGTCGCGATGGCGGACAACGCCAGCGATGCCTCGTCGATGATGCCGCCACCGCGACCAAAAAGTAGAGCAGAATTCGCTGCCACCAGCAAATACAACAACTTATCCTACTGGAAAGCGAGAAGAGTAATTTTTTATAAAAACGGCGACCCATTCTTTCCGGGAGTCGAGTTTCGATTTAAACCTGGTCGAGATATTTACAACTTAGAAACACTTTTGGATAAGTTATCATTAAGAATTGATCTTCCACGCGGAGCTAGATATATTTTTTCTATGGACGGTGATCGGAAGTTTCGATTGGACGAATTGGAGGATGGAGCTTCCTATGTTGTTTCATCGTACAAAACTTTTAAGGTAAGTTCAAATTGGGCTAAATTAGGGGGTTGCTTAAAATTATTAAATATGAGTGGAATTGTGGATAACGTGACATGAGAGTGGTTTATTAATCGACTATATGCAAATGAATGCGTTTTCAGAGGAAGATTATGCTAACACGTGCCAAATATATGAATTATTTATAAAACGTTGTGACGTTATTGTAAGAAATAATTCAATAAAATCAATGTTATGTTAATTACTATCCAAAAGAAATCATTTTTTTTTAATTTATTGTTAAAAAGTACTCTTTAATTCAGTGAAACTCTCACTTTTCGATCAAGGTCGACTTGTAATTCGTTGACCAAAATAGTTACCATTTTTGTGGCACTAAAAGTAGATTTAGGAAATCGGGGGCGATTCCTATCGAAAATAAAATATAAACTACCACATACCGTGGGGTTCGTGCCACTTTTGCGATTATGAGTGATTACAGATTAGAAATGCCCTTCGACCTAAAATGCTGTTTTTACCATGAGAGATTATCTAAAAGAAAACTTAAATACTATTGATCATAACAAGTTAAAAGTGATTGAAATTAATTAATTCCAAAAGTTTACACAATTTTGTAAGGAACAGATTAAAATATTTTTTTATTTAGTCCATTTTTCTCACTAGTTCAGGTTTTTGATACAATAAATACTATTCATTTGTTTTAACACTGTTTCAACATAAACAAACGTTTGAGTAATGAGCTAAAAAGCAGCAAGAAATTTTTGTATTTAGTTGGAAAAACTTTCTGAAAAACATTTATCTTAAATACTGTAAATTTTTGGGTTCTTTCTTACTGCTTTACTATTTCCTTTAGAATTTGTGAACTCATTAGAAAATCTTTTAAAAATGCTTTCATGAGCTGTCCATAAATAAAGTTATTTTTAAATCTCTACATTTTAACGCGAAAAATGAGAAAATTGATATAGAAAGATTTTGTGATCAATTCTGCAACAAATAAATTCATTACAAATACTGGTTAACAGAGAATTGGAAAAACACTTTTTATCTTTAATCTAATTTTCAACAAACGTCAAAATAAATCTTCTGTATTTGAAATTATACAGGGTGAGTTATTAGTATCCCGGCGGTTGATACTTACTAAACCGTTTGAAAAACAAAAAAATATTTTATACAAAAGTTGTTTGACTCATCACTTTCTATTACGTAAAATTATTTTCACTTATACAGGATGTTCCATTTAAGCGTAACGGAGAGTACATAAATTTATTGAAATGGAACAGCCTGTATATTTTATCATATTATGAATACAACTAAATTTGTTTGTACAACTGTATATGTTACTATTTCTCAGCGTTCATAGTTCCTGAGATATTCAATTGTTTTTTCAAAATGTGCCCATTACAGGATTTTTTAAAAACGATATTAGATACAATATACAGGATGTTTAAAACGCTCAGTTACTTTTGATGTTTTTCAAATGGCCTTTTCTTAAGTTTTTTAAATGCAACACCCTGTATGTTGTGTACTATTTGAATTGCTCATCTAGTTCCCTTTACTTAATGATAAGTATATAGTCATATGTCTAACTTTAATAGTTTTCCTAATATTTAGGCCCGGTTTTACAATCATAGTTTAAGCGTCCGATTAACTTAATCTATGGTTAATTAACAAAAAAATAATTTACAACTACCGTTTAACGTTAAACCACGGTTAGAATCGACGTTTACGTTACTAGTAGTCGTCGACCGTTTAAGCGCCAAAACTTAGTTTACGTGTGGCCAGTTTTCAAATTGACATTTGTCAATTTGTGCCTAGTGAAAAATTGTTTTAATATTTTGTATACCTAATAAATTGAAAAGGACGAACAAGGGTATAATTAATAAGAAAAGAGTTAGCCATAAGAATTAACAAGTTAATATGTAGACATTTTTGTTAAAGTTTATATTAAGTTTCTAAAATAGTCATTTATTAATGAATGCCTTGTACTAAAGTTATTATTTTCTACATCGATTACAATATCATTGCCATTATTTTGAAAATGAATCAAATTTTCTAAGTCTTCATTATTGTCTGGTTCCACATCTTTTATAGTACAGGCTATATTATGCAAAACCACAAATGATATAATAATAGCCTCTACTGTTGTTATATGTAACTTAATTCCAAAACACCAAAACATAGTTCACAAGCTATATTCCTTGTATATACTTAATACCTATTTGTTTTCGACTATACAGCTTCCTTTATTTAATCTAAAATTGACCTTACAACCCACTCAGATAGTCTAAAACGTTCCAGAAACTCTTGGTCTGACCATTTTTCAAAATGGTTATTCCGCTCACAAAAACTTTTGCTTTTCTAGGAAAAGCCATTATTTCAGCTACTTCTAAGAAATCTTCATCGTCCGTAAGTTCATTAAATATATTATTCATAGTTAAAAAATATTTTTAAAAAATGAAAATCAAACAGTTACAAAATACTTATTCAAAATACTTTCTCTTATAATATTAAGAGGTTATAATTTTGAAAGATACTAAACAATGAAGTTAGTTATATGTAGAATATGAAATTGACACTTATTACCAACTGTAGTATAAACCTCCGTTTCTTATACTTAGTTTAATAATTCGTTGTAAAACATAATTTTTGTAAAACTTAATTTAAATTTTAACTGCCGATTAGTTAATCGGACGCTTAAACTATGATTCTAAAACCGGGCCTTAGAATTTAAAGATAAGTGTGTAATAAAATGTCATTGCATATTGTACTTAAAAAACTGACAGAATTTAAATATATTCTGTATATTCCTTTTGTTGTTTTTCTTTTTTGTTTGTCTGTCATTTGTAAATCAGTAATATTATATTAAAATGCAATTTAAAAAAAACTTTAATAAATAAATAATCAAAACATGATAAAAATACTAATAATGGCAGAACAATAAATCCCTTTTTTAATTACTAAATTGTATTTGAATGAAACGCAGCAACAAACTATAAGCTATTACTAAACGTTGCTCAACAAGTAGGTATTAATTTAATTAATACTTAGAAGTTGTTCAAAATGCCGCCCATTTTCTCTTCTAGAAGCATTAATGCGCTGTATAAAAGATCTTGAGGTATCTTCGCATCTTATTTTCTCTAACGTCGTAAATTATATGGCAGAACAATTGCATATTGAGATTTAAAAAATATTTATTTTATTACTTACATCATTTTAAATCTCATAAAGTATTAAAATCTGGTATATCGGAGCAAAATTATTTTACATTATAAAATATTAATCAAATAATAAAAGGAAGAACAAAAACTGATAAAAATAGACGGAATATAATATTAAGTACAATAACGCATATTTTATTACACATTATTCTTTAAATTCTAAATATCAGAAAAACTACTAAAGTTAGATATATGACATACTTATTATTAATTAAAGGTAACTTGATGGGCAATTCAACCAACACACAATATACAGGTTGTTCCATTTAAAAAACTTATGAAAAGCCATATGAAAAATATCAAAAATAACTAAGCTTTATGAACACGCTGTATAGCGTATCTAATATCTTTGGTTACTATCATTTATCTACTGGCTTTGACTATTATTTGGCATAGTTCAAGTTCAAAATAATAGTTTTAATCGGTTACTGATATCCCCTGTTAGTATGAGTTAATGATTGTGTTTTAGTGGTATTTAGTGGGAAAAGTGTAATAAACAAAAAATAATGAATGTATCACCTTTAAAGTAGGAAAACGTATTACGCTGTTTGACATGAAATAATTCCAAGAAGAGCAGGAAATCACATTTGCAGTAGTCTAATGAAAATGTTGGACCAAGTTGTTGCAGATTTTCCGGAATTAAAGAAACTGGTCATTTGGTTTCATATTTGTGTTCCTCAGAATAAGAATAGCATTATGTCTCTTGGACTATAATATTTCATCATCCACAAATAGAATGGGTACAACAAACCAGGACATCTGACCAAAATTTTTAGTTCAGTGTAATTACTTAGGAATCTGGTTAGTGATAACCAATGGCTAGTGGTAGCCATTATTATAATGCAGATGAAACCGTCAGATTTTTTTGATTTTCAAACATTAATAAAAAAAATTGCCAACAATTAAGTAGCAATAACAAAGAAACACTATGTATAAAATTAGCATCATTTCCTTTTAACCGCGTTTTTCCACAAGGACATGATTCACAAATTTTTAAAGATATTGTGTTTTGAAAATTTTCGATACCGTTATTTTTACTTTTAATAATATCTTAACATAAATTAGACGTAGTCTCTAGTCACAACCACTAAAGAAAGACGATCTGCTAACTTTTAAATCCAAATTACTGCCTTGTAGACATAAGGGGTTTGGTTCACAATAATTCTCAGGTGACGAACTGAGAATCTATCTCTTGTAAACATGAATGTGTAAAATACGTATTATTTACTGGGTTTTCTATTCCATTAATAAGTTGTCAGTCCATAAAATTGAATATAAGTTGTATTTCTTATTTTTTGTAGGTTTGTGTTATAAGCATAATAAACCAGGTCAAATTATGGTTGAATTCGTTCATAAATAGTGACGTTTCAGAAAAGACACCACAAATCTTCAATCAGTAGAATGACGCCAGACGCCATTTACTGTTATGCTATGTTTCATTTTTTATACACTGGCCTCATGTTGCCTTGCGTATACATATTCATGTACTGATTCAGACCCTTCCGTGAATCTACTTTTTTATATGGAAATTGAATTACACAAAGGATTCTTACTGATTGCCATAAGGAGCCATTTCACTATTATGAAAATTGGTCCAACAACATAAAAAAAATGTGCTTTTATAATTTTTCAAGGAACTGATGACGTGAAATGCGTGGTATGATTTAGTAGTAGTTGATTGTGTCAAGGACAAAAAGCGATTTTTTTTTTCTATATTGTGCATAGCATAATTGTATAACACCTAGTAAATACATACTAATTAATACGCGGAACACACGTTTAGGGTATTATTGTTTTTGTTATAAT